GGAAGAGGCAAATCATCTTATTGTTTTTGGAATTTAGAGGTGAAAAGAAGCTTAGTTTTATTTTTGTAATACATGTACATATTTGGAAATAGATATGAGTAGAGGTGAATTGCAGGGGTGAATTGTAAGGCAAATTGTGTCAAAGTGCAATTCACCTTTCAGCACAATTCACCCTGAATTGCTAGGGTTCTAGGGTCTGCAATTTACTTTGTATGAAAGTGAATCATGCAGGTGAATCACACACTGAATCACAAGGTTTGACCACACCTACAGGCATTCACTAGTCCTTTAAACACAACCTTTTGAACCCTCTGTATAATTTTTTATACAAAATTTTTCTTGTTTTTTTCTATTATATACATTCTAGACTATGATTAGTATGCTATGTAAAAATTGTACAGGCATAGAGTGCCCCAAAAAATTAATAGAGAGGCAAGAAAAAATGAGGGAAATGTCACAAAAAGTGCTCCTTTGAACAGACTGTGACTCTTGTCACACTGGCACACTCCAACTATCCTACCAACTCCTCCTAGGCCCCTGTCTCTCTCTGTACAAAATTTCCTCCTCTTGAAAGCTGCTAGCTTATTTCTATTCACTCCTGTGACTCTTGGAACTCTTGGATCCATCTTACATTGTACCTACACAGGTCTAGGTTGCATTCACCACATTCAGACACTACTTCTGTACATACAGCTGTCTTGTTCTCCTGTGCTTCAAGGACTTGTTTCCAGACTTCCTGCTTTGTCAAACAAGTTGGTCTAGGATCCTAATATACTTTAGGGAGGCCTTCTTCTTCCTACTGAGCACATCTTGCCAGCCAATTCTGTGTTTCTGCTTGATAGTGCATCCTAACCCTTTCCTATTCCTTCTCAATAATTTCATTAATGTCTTTCTTCTTCCTAGCTTTGTCTTTTTGTGCCTAGGCCTGCATTTCTTCCTTCTCCTTTGCATCCCTACACTGTCTGAGCTGTTCACAGGCCTGCTAGGATGTAAAGATCTTGAGCATTCCACCATTAAAGATGCATACATTTTCCACTCCTTTTCCCTTCTCCTTCTCATTCAGTGCTCCTTGTAGCTTTGCATTATGTATGGTAGCAAGTACAAGCTGGGCCTGAGCACCCTCAGCAATACTCTGGTTGATTTGCATGTACTAATGTGTCTGGATCAGGTTCTTAGTAAGTTCAGCAATGTCTTTACCTGAACAAGTACTTACTGATAGCCTTTCCAAGCATCCTTCTACTTCCTTCCAATTAGGAGTCCTAAGAGTGTCTGGGACTCTCTCTAGTACAGGTGGAGGCAGATTGTGCTTTGTAGTAACATGCTCTTTTGAGACCAGGAAACTTGCTGATTTTGACACTACTAGAGACAAAGACATTAACCATATACACTTTGAGAGTGTGAAGAGTGACAGATCAATGGATGGATCAATAGTAGGAGTAGTAGACTGGTACATAATAATACTACTGCTACAAGAACTGGTCTGCTCACTCAGTAATGTGTATGTGTGGCTAGGTGCTGGAATATGTGTTAAGATGTCAACATTAAAGCCTGTAGGCTTTTGATAGTAATATACAGCTATTATCTGGCAAACAGGAGTTGTGAGAGGTAACAGAAAGGTTGATAATGTTGAGGACACCTCACTCAGCTTCATCTGATCACCTGTAATGACAGTACAGTCAAACAGATGAACTCTAGTAACTCAGAAGGCAGACTAGACAGTCTGTGAATCAAAGGCAAGTAAAAAGCTCCTTCCAAAAAGTCCAAGAAAATCCTGCTTCCCAACAGTTTGTAGCATCTGTGCCTCAAAATTGTCAACCATGTCTTGCCAAATTCGTTTCATCCATGCAAAGCAAACCACATCAAGGCCCTAGAGAGCATGTGTACAGTAAGGAGGATACTCTAATAGCACAACATTGTGTTGAACTGCTACTTCTAGCAGTTCAAACAAATAATGTGAGTTGTGACTATCAACAATAAGAACTTGGGTGTGTCCATGTGCTTTCTCTCTTGTTTCAGGCTCAAAATGATTTGTGAACCAATCTAGTACTATTTCACAGTCTGTCCAACCATTTGGAGAGCTGGTGAACCTGTTGCTCTTGTTAAGTAAGAGCTCATGAAGAAGTATAGGTACATACCTCACATTAGCTATATTGTTCTCTGTCCATTTGGACCATACACTATGGCCTTTGAAGATAGTAACAGGCTTAGTGTATGTTCCATCTGCACAGATGGTAACAATAGTAGTAATGTTTTCTCAGTTTCCACCTCCACTTTTATACTGAATCTTCTTCCCTCTAGCTCTAATAACTTGTTTAACAGTATCATTAGCAGGTGAGAAACCAGTTTCGTCCATAGCATATATTTGCCCAGGTAAGACTCCCTTCTTAACCACTTCCTCCTCCAGAATGTCAAACCATTTACTAACAGCTGTTGGATTTAGGCCATTTGCTTGTTGTGTATCAAGATGAGAACTCTAGTAAGTTTTTAGCTTGGTATGATGATGCTCTAGGAATCTCTGAACAAATGTAGGTCCTACAGGCTTGTAACTTGTACCATATTGTGCCTCAAGGAGTCAATTAGCTGCCCTTTCAATGTCATTATGACTGAATGGGCAGCTTCGATTAGAAGAGATCCAAATAAGTTCTGTAAGTGCCTGATTGTCCTCCTTCATTAAACAGCATTTTGAAGTATTAAACTCCAGGATAGACTTCATTCCAGCTGCCCTATTCCTTAATGTTCCAACTGTAACCCCTTTAAACATACTAGCCACTCCTCTTAGTCCTAGACACTCTCTCCAGGGCTTTTTTTGGTCCAACTGATAAGCCTCAACTGCTTGACCCATATTCCTCTCCCTTTCCTCCAATTCCTCCCTTTTTTTTAGAGATTTAGACTTAGCATACTTGACCATAGTGTACTAAGCAGAATAGAGAGTGAGCAAGTAGAAAAAAAGAGTAAAAAAACACTAATTTATTAGCAAGGGTATGGCAAATGCTCTGACACGATTCTCACACGAAGGTTTGGCAAATTACATC